CAACCCTCCCCCGAGTTTAAAAACACAGTACTGTTATTACTATTAGAGTGTTATATAATTAAATATGTTTATCATTATCATGCACAGGATGAAGACAAGCAGGACCTGGTTGATCCAACATCTACCAATCCATATAGAATGACTGTTGAAGAATATTTCAATCCATCTTTATCGAAACAAGGTCGAGGTACTAACAATCAAGACAACTTTTAATCTTTTTTTTATTCAGTCTTTTATTTTCTTCTTATATTTGTACTTCTGTGTTYGTTTTATTAATGTTGTTTTTTTCCTGTGTGTTACATTTTCTCTGTCCTAATCATATTGCATGTACAGTGGCAGGGGCGGATCCATGATTTTTTCAAAGGGGGGGTTGTAGCATTGATTGAGGTGGTGGAGAGATATAGCAGACCAAAGGGTTAGGGAGACGATTATTTGCTGAAGGTGACCATGGTTGCGTTTCAGGTCCCACACACGGCGTATAGAAAAAGAAAGTGAGCTAAATGTGTTCGGCACCCCTGTTTTAATAAAACTCGCGATGCTGTTGGTGTTGTCATGAATAAATAAAAAAATCATGATGGCTCTCATAGGGGGGTTGCAACCCCCAAAACCCACCCCTAGATCCGCCACTGAGTGGGACCTCCCGACACCTCTATGATATGGACACCTCCATATTACGGACAGCTCTTTAGGTCCCGGCATATTAAATGCCATACATTCTTTGTTTACATTACTTACATATATTTCAGATACCTCCATATCACAGACAGGTCTTTACGTCATTGCAAAATCTCCATACCTTCTTTGTAAACATAACTTCTATATTATAGATACCTCTATATTGCAGACACTTTTCTCTGGCCTTTCGGGTCCGTACCATAGAGAGGAGAGAGGAACCTTCCACTGTATCGTTATTTTTTTCAGAGCTTAGAGCTTAAAATCGTTAATTTGTTTTGTTTGTCATTTTTTCTTTAAGATATTGGACGATTAAAAGAAATGTCAACCAAAAGGCAAAAATTTAGAGCCACAATTTCGATGGCCGATCCTCACCCTCTTTCCCTACAGCAGCAAGTTCTACCCATTATTAAACTGTTGGTGAGTTGATGCTTGTACTATAAGGAAATCATTATCTCCAGGGCCATAGCCAGACGGAATTGTTTACTGAGGCAAATGGACAGCAAAAGCAGAGGCAGTTTAGGGGGTTCAGCGACATGCAACAAAATATTTTGTTTTTGAAAACCCATCAGAAATGTGATTTCCAGAGTTTGATCTCTTTCCCATGCAATCACTGTTGCTGAAAAGTTTGTTGGAAGCATTGTCTAAGCATTGCAACAAGAAGAGAGAAAGAGCATTTGTAGTATAGTACCTCTATTAAGCGGACACTAGCTCAGGTTCCAAAATTTTCTCCCCATATTTACTGTAAAACAAACCTCTATTCAGTGGACGTCTCTATTCAGCGGGCACCTCTATTAAACAGACACCTCTATTCAGCAGACACCTTTATTGATTGGACACCTCTATTCAGCGGACACCTCTATTAAGCGGACACCTCTTTTAAGGAGATACCTCTATTAAGTGGACACCTCTATTAAGTGGACACCTATTAAGCGGACACCTCTATTAAGTGGACACCTCTTTTAAGTGGACACCTCTTTTAAGGAGACACCTCTATTAAGTGGACACCTCTATTAAGTGGACACCTCTATTAAGTGGACACCTCTATTAAGTGGACACCTCTATTAAGTGGACACCTCTATTAAGTGGACACNAAGTGGACACCTCTATTAAGTGGACACCTCTATTAAGTGGACACCTCTATTAAGTGGACACCTCTATTAAGTGGACACCTCTATTAAGTGGACACATCTATTAAGTGGACAACTATTAAGTGGACACCTCAATTAAGCGGACACCTCTTTTAAGGAGACACCTCTATTAAGCGAACACCTCTATTAAGTGGACACCTCTATTAAGCGGACACCCTCTATTAAGTGGACACCTCTATTAAGTGGACACCACTATTAAGCAGACGCCTCTTTTAAGGAGACACCTCTATTAAGCGGACACCGCTATTGAGCGGACGCGGACCTTTATCCAGTCCATAGTTAACAATGAATTTAGTGTAAACTACTGACACCTTTTTACTTTTAGGCAATAAGTAATGCACACTTTGCAAAGCTGAGAGATTTTATTGCGCTGCATCTGCCAGCTGGATTCCCGGTCAAAATAGGTAATAATACTAATCTGTATTTTAACTTACAACCTTTGATAAAAGAAACCTATCATTTATATTCTATGACCAGGGATTTTTGGGTTTAAGCTTTCAACGACAGATAGAATTGGAATTTGAAATGTTGGAATTGGAATTTTCAGTGGAAATTTTGCGGAGGGATGAAACTGGAAAACCCGGAGAAAAAACCTTGAAGCAGACAAGCAACATTGAGTTCTGGAATCGAACCCATGACGAGAGGCAATGCAGGCACTGCAAACCGCCAATGCTTTCAGCCATGGTGCCGTCATAGGCCCAGATACTGCGGAAAGGATTGCGGAAGGACTCAACAGGGTCTCATTTCCGCGCTCACTCACCCGAACTCGGAGAGACAATAAATAGAATATGCCACTGTTTTTAATACTACACGCTGATCAAGACCACTCAAAGGTCAAGACATGGAAATTTTGGCAGTAGATTGCCATCAATGAAATGAAATTTTTTGGTACCTTTACATACTCTGATTGACGGCAGTGTATTGCCTGATTTCCCTGTCGCGACTGTGCGCTGTCTCAATTCAATCAACGCATAGCAATGAAAACACTGAGTGATAAAGCTGAAGGTACATAAAATCTAAGTAGTGAAAACAGGCGTGTAAGACCGATACAGAATCCCACCTGAAAGTTAAGTAGTTATAGTATCTCATCATTCTAACTATTTTCCAGAGATCCCACTTTTCCATGTGCTGAATGCCAAGATCACCTTTGGCAACATCGATTCAAGAGACAAGACGGTAACTGGAGTTCACTGTTTATACGTTCCCCCTGATGCTGCTTCAAATGAAGGCGGGAAGGAAGAGGAAGGAGAAACAGCGAGTAGACCTGTTATTCAAAGCTGCACCATCGATTCACAGTGTTTCGAAGCACCATCGGGGTACCGACTGCTAAGGGCCGGGGAACATCCTGGTATGTCTTAGTCTTTGATTGGGCTACCTGTGGCGGAGCCAAACTGACACAATTTTGCCATCTTACGATACTGATTCCAAGCCAGAGATATTTCATTTAGAATTGCAAACATTTATTTATATATTAATGCTTTTATAACTGCATCTGCCAAAGTTTTAAACCACCTTTGTTTGTCCCTGTTTATTTCAAGTGTTGCAAGAAACTGTTTAAAATATCTATTTGAAATCTCTGTGTTTTCGTTAATAGTTCCCGTACGAGATGAAGAAGACGAACTTCTACAGCTTGCCATTCAGCAAAGCCTCCTTGAGTACAGCAATGTCAGCCCTGGGGATAAAGCTGCTGTTAAGTCTCTGGTAGACAACGAGGATGAGGACAAGATGCTGCAAAGGTCAGTCTTTATATTCCTTTTTTTTCATTTCAGTTCCCTAGACCGCCTTACGTTTTCTGTACCTCTTTATACCTCTCACCTGATTTCCAAACAAAACATGTCCAATCTGTAAATCGGCTGTCAGAGGCGCCTTTACATTGCCGCAGTTCGACCCTGTTGACCTGCTCAACTGCTGTACTTGCCGTGGAAAATAGCGATAACAAGTTTTTTTCATAAATGTATTAACTTATAGAGCAATCAGAGAAAGTATGAAGGAGTGTGGGATAGCAGAAGGGCCCTCTAACACTCCTCCAAGTGAAAATAACCAAGAAAATGATGACAACAATGCTGAAGATCAGCTGAAACTCGTGATGGCGCTCTCTCAGCAGCAACTTGCTGAAGATGAAAGAAGAAGGCGGCAAGAAGAGGAAGAATTGCAACGTGTTCTCGAACTGTCGATGACAGAAAAATGAATTTGGAGATTTTATTTCATTGGTTCAATTCCACGATGTATTTTTTTACAAAGTTCTTACGATCCCTTTGTTATTTGAATAGGAGGGAGAGAAGTTTTACAATTGTTTTGAGTGGATAACCCTGGAATATCCCGCAAGGCACTTGTGTTTTGTAGTATACTAATAAAATAACAAGTGATAAGTGAGATATTCCATAGTGTATCATGAGTAAGCATTGTAGAACTATCTTACTCTATGTGTGGAGTAACGCAATTGCCCTATTTCACTATGACGTCACTGCTTGTTTATGTGGGGGATAGAATCGCCAAATCCAATAGAAAATTCAACGAAATTTGCTCCTAGCGAAACCGTTTAATCTAAAATGGCCTGGTTTTCAGATATAATATGTGTTAATATGTACCAAAAAATATTCTGAGCGTTTGCTGGCTATTCTACTTCTCTTCGTGGATTGATACAGGTTTTAGAACAATTTTCGGTGAATTTGCGTTGATTTGACCCCCTCCGACGACCATAATCCTTTGCGCTTAAASAATAGATTGTTTTGATGTGACGTCATAGTGAAATAGGACAATTCTATTGTCAAGAATTTAAAAACACCGCAATGCCTGAAGGGACGTAACGGTGAAAAATGCCGCTGAATATTAATTGGTTTTCCCGCTTTGGCTGTATTTTCAATGTTGTAGGATATATAAGAAAACCGTTTGCAAAAACTTATGGCCACCGAGAAAAGACCATCACCTGAGTGCATCGCGGCAATTCTTTATTTTAATAAACATTATCGTCAAAGTCAACTGAAAGTAAATATCTTGATGATATAAGCATTGAGTAAATACCCCTTATAGCGTCTTCTAGAGATTCCTTTGACGTCGTAGTCCCAGAAATCGAAATTCTTCGATTTCTGGTTTTGCTCCTGTAAATATTTAAAGTATATATTTCATGTCCCCTCATGTCATTGCGGGTCTCAGTCATTCTCGACATGCTCAGGCCCTCCCTCCTATGGACCGTACATTGTCTCTGATGGAGCAGCCATAATTTATGGGGTTATGAAGCTACGGGGAATTAACATTTTGAAATTGTATTTTAGGGTGCGCCCCCAACCCTCCCCTCCTTGCACTCGTACTCAATATATTATCAATATATACACAATATATTTTCAGAGTACCGATATCCCCCTCCTCTCCCCCCTCTTTCTCAAATTGTTACCGGATAAAGTTGCTCCCTCCAAATTCCCATGGCCAACCCAACCCATAAATTATGAACGCTCCCTTATACTAACCAGCTAAGTTTCATTGGTGGTATATGATCGTACAACTGTATTATAGAGTGAAGGCATTTAACCCGTGAAATAAAAACTATTAGTCAACATTTAATAGTGAAATAGACACAAAAGAGATCATTTCACGAGTTTAATGACTCCACTCTATTGCAGATTTTAACGCGATATATTGCATGTTTAGTTGCCTTTTAATGCTAGACGTGTGCTTCGTATTTCACATAAGGAAAGCACAAGAAGGAAGATAGAAAAGACGTTTGTTATCTCCCATAACAGTTCAAACAAAAGTGACACCCCCTCCATTCCCATCCAACTTATGCATAAATGATTCGAATTTTTTTCTTTCAAATCCCGCCCTTTGATTTAATATATATTCTCCCTTCCCTTGCCATCATTATATGTCAAATGGTACATTGTTTTATCTCTTGGCACATAGTATCGATACTCGCCATGCCAGCGCTACTTTGATTGAGATAAACTTTGAACCTATTGCCAATTAGGGCGATATATATAAAGATAGAATTACAACCGGTAGAAACAAATAAAAAATAACATCTAAGACGTACAATGTTTGCCGGGCTTATCAAAACAAACCAAATTAAATTTAAAAATAAAAACAAAATACCTTTTACGCTTTTTTCCGTTTTTCCTGGCTGTCTTCCCACCCCTAAAGCCTTGAGCCCCTCCCTGCATATGATCAGCGTTATTTATAATTTTTGGCGCCAAGTTCCAAGTCTGCGCACGCACGCACACGCACAACCTGGAGGCAGAACGTTATAAAGTGTGAGTATTATTTAATATTTATATAATGATATAATGACTTATAATAAGTTGATTATACGAAATTTAACATGTACTAATAAGGCCTCTTACTATATATTATTTTTTGTTTGAAAAGTTATAGTTTTGAGGTCGCTATTCGCCACAGAACATATTGAAGAATGTCCAAACATACGAGTTCCTGCTGGAATTTCCCCAACAAATTCATCGCTGCAAAATGGAGCCAAGCCATGAATCGAATAGAGGTAAAAAAAAWTTAGCTAACTTGTAAAACCGAGCTGAAAAGTACTTTATATAAGCTTCTTCCTTAAGTGTCTTTCAATCTAAATCTATTATATACGTCGTAATGCAGCTTAATTTGGAGAATTCTCAAGAGATTGAAATTCTTTTGTTTTGTCCAAATTGAGGTTCTTTGACATAATTTACATGGAAGTAATTTATTTTTGATCAATTTGTCCGAATATTAATTGAGCAGCAGCTTTGTGTGTGTGTGTGTTATTTCCAGGGGTGGCACAAAGGAAGGTCAGGGAGCCATAACCCTATCAAAATGACCAAACACCTGTAGGCCTTAAATGATAGGTTTAGGGCTTGATCTTAACCTTTCTGTCTTCTAGCAAACATTTGAAGTTCTGTTTCTTAATGAATAAATGGACAGATGTGGGAAACATTTACTTGCAAATGCTTGCTAGTAGATATTTTTTCAAGTAAAGAAAAGCACTAGCTTAATTTGAGCCCTGTATTTCCACTTAAGGTGCTGACATATGTGCAACATTGCATGCAACAGGACTGTTGTAGTGTGTGTCTTCCCCAAACTTGTTGCACGCAAAGTTGCATGCAACAAATTTGAAGTTGAACTGTGCTCTACTTTTACAGCATTGCGCGAAACAAATTTCATCATGTGAACATGGCTGCAACATTACCTGCAACATTTTAAAAATTTCCAGCCAATCAGCTTGCACCAAATTTATAACTGATGACCAAATAATTATCTTAACACAGCAGGCTGACACAAGCCATGTTGTGTGATTTTGTTGCAATGTGTGTCACCCCGATTCAAATTTGTTGCTTGCAATGTTGCAATATTGCAACGTGTGTCAGCACCTTAGGGTGCTCAGTTAAATTTGATTGATATTCTTCTGTGTTATCAATCAATATTTGCCCCAGAAATCTTCCAGCTTTTTGAACAGAGCGAAAAGGGACGAATCGGGGATACTTGAAATAGCAAAAAAAAAAAAGAGGTAGAACAGAGGAAAAAAAATTGAAAAAGCTAGAATAGGGAGAGAAGAACCAGGAAAGAGAAAAAGGAAGGAGAAAGAAGATTCGTACAATACAATACAATATAGTTTATTGCTCTCTAGTATATTTGAGACATGACATTTTCTAAAATCAATTATGTTAACAATTTTGATTCAAAAATTACAATTCGAAAAAAGACGAGCCTGGGGGTTAAAATAACTGTTAAGTTTTCTAGTTTGCGTACAGGTTTAAACATGAAAACATACAGGAGGTTTATTGGTTTAATTTTTTCTCCATTTTTCTGTATCCAAATGCCATTATATCTTTAGGTCAATAATTTTTTACAGTCAGGACAATCAAACCATGAACACTTTGAGCTTTTTTTTAGTTTTTCTACTCTTTCAAACCCTCTAAATTAAAGCTACAAGTTGGAAGTGGCCTAGTGATCAAAATAAATATTATTTCCGATTAATTGGGTCAATGATTTAAAGTATGCATTTTAAAAAGGTGACAAAAAAAAAAAAAAAAAAAAAAAAAACAGAAGTGTTCAGGATTTCCTCACTGTAAATATATGATTTTTATTCATCATGATCAGTTGCAATTAATATTTAAGCGTGGTTTTAAGAAAACTCTATGTTACCTGTACAAATTAACAAGTAATGTTTAATTTTTTTATTGTATTCAAATAATCTAATGGAAAGATATGTCTCATTAATGTATACCGTATAGATTGCAAACCATATATCCATGAAATAGAAAAGAAAACTAAATAGCACTAAACACATCTATTTCTTTTATTTTCCATTGTTTCATGGTGCTATTCTGTACTAAATAGTTAGACATACTATTTCACGGATATATGGTTGCACTCTTACATTGTTTGCCAACTAGTACTGGTAATGTCCATCTTGCACGTGCCTCCYATATAATGATTATTAATTCAAGAGCACTCATAATTTATAGTTTATACTCATTAATAAATTTTCATTGTTTAAACTTTCCAAGTTGAAAATACAGTCATTTTATATAATAAATTTTTGTATCTTAGGATATTGTTCTACAACCTACAAATAGAACCATTTATTTTTCTCTATAATGCACGCACAGGAGATTGTCCCTATTTTTTGTATGATCAAATATTTTCATACAATTATTCTATATATTTATATATTATTCAGTACATACTAAAAATTGTGTAGTTCCAGAAATCATCCATACCCACCCCACAGAGGAATTTGGAATTTCCGAAGAGTAGGGGGGTTAGAGAAAGATCAAAAATTACAGAGTTTGTATGGAAGAAAATTGGAATTTCTGGGGGGTAGGGGGGTGTCTTTAAAAAATTCCTCTGTGAGGGGGTATGGATAATTTTTGGAACTAGACATTATTAAATTATAAATAGTTAACAAAATGTTAAAAAAAAACTAGTGTCTGCTTTATGCGAGATCAAACACACACAAGATTTTCATATTTTTGGGAAAATAATTCTTATCTAAACTAAATCATAAAATCACTCAGGTTAGAAACATAGGACATAAAAACGTATGCTGGGAAACATAATGTTCCTTTGATGTACATGTATTCATTTTAAATACATGTTTTCTGTCAGTGCAACCATTTATGAACATTCGACACGTTGTTTTCACTAGATACATCTCTTAATATGCTTCCCATGTACCATTTCAGTTTCATCTATGATGTTTTATGTTTTTTTAACCCAACAATGATTTTGCAATTATTGAATATATGTTTAAGCTGCA